ACAGCCAGTGAGTGTGTGTGTGTGTGTGTGTGTGTGTGTGTGTGTGTGTGTGTGTGTGTGTTTGATGAGTATGAGACTGAGATGTCTCTGTCTCTGTTCTGGGTACATGATCGCTCTAGAACTGGCCAATAAAATGCTTTGTTTTTTTTATGCTTATACTCATTTTATAAAAAAAAAAAAATCTTATTAAAAAACAATCATTGTTTTGAGTGAAATAACAGCAACTGAATCTCACAAAAAATACATTCTGTCAAGAACATGTCAAGTGTAAGTAAATAAGTAATTATATTTTGCATAAAGGAAATGGCGCCTATATTTTAAGACCATAAAAGGGGGCATTTTGCATTTCTACATAATTTTCATGAAATACACACAATATCATATTTTATATTTATTATTATTAAAAACATAATTTAAAAAAATTATGTATAAACCCATTTAATCCCCCAAATAGTTATTATAATAATACAAATAAATGTATGTAGTATAATTTACAGTGGCATGCGAAAGTTTGTGAACCCCTTGCAGAATCATACCCGTTTCTGCCATAAAAATGGTCCAGTTCAAAAGTGATTGTTATATTTTTTCTTCTTAAGACTTCCCGCTCACTGTAGTGAAATATTCTTCTTCTAAACATTTTAGAAGTTATCAAGGATTTACAAAAGATGTGGATTCAAATGGCAATTAAATTACAGTGGCATGCGAAAGTTTGGGAACCCCTGGCAGAATCTGTGAAAATGTGAATAATTGTAACAAAATAAGAGAGATCATACAAAATGCATGTTATTTTTTATTTAGTACTGTCCTGAGTAAGATATTTTACATAAAAGATGTTGACATTTAGTCGACAAGAAAAAAAAAAAAGCTGAAATTATTCAAATAACCACATTCAAAAGTTTGGGAACCCTTGGTTCTTAATACTGTGTGTGGTTACCTGGATGATCTTCGACTGTTTTTTGTTTTGTGATGATTGTTCATGAGTCCCTTGTTTGTTCTGAACGGTTAAACTGAGCACTGTTCCTCAGAAAAATCCTCCAGGTCCGAAGATCAAGGTAAATTGTACTTAATTTGTCTTCCGGGAAACATGCAAGTATCTTCTGTTGCTTCCGAAGGGCAAGTACTAAATGGAAAAAAAAAGATATTTCAACAAAATAGGAAAAATTTGGACATTCTCATCCTGTTCAAAAGGCTCTTAATGCATCGTGTTTCCTTCTAGAGCATCAGTGAATGTTTGAACCTTTTTTAATAGTTGTGTTTGAGTCCCTCAATTGTCCTCAGTGTGAAAAGATGGATCTCAAAATCGTACAGTCACTGCTGGAAAGGATTCAAATAGGCAAAAGATGCTGGAAAACTGAAGAATCTGCAGGAAATGGAAGATTTTTCTGAGGAACAGAGCTCAGTTTAACTGTTCAGAACAAACAAGGGACTCATGAACAATCATCACAAAACAGAAAACAGTCGTAGATAATCCAGGTAACCTCACACAGTATTAAGAACCAAGGGTTCCCAAAGTTTTGAATGGGGTTATTTTTATAATTTCAGCTATTTTTTTTTCTTGTGGACTAAATGTAAACATATTTTATGTCAAATACCTTACTCAGGACAGTACTAAATAAAAAATAACATGCATTTTGTATGATCCCTCTTATTTTTTTTTAATTATTCACATATTCACAGATTCTGCAAGGGGTTCCCAAACTTTCGCATGCCACTGTATACTATATAAACAAATATATTATATTTTTGTTCATGTATAATATATATGTGCATATATAAATTGATATGATATTTATTATTATAAAATCATTTTTAAATAATATATTTTGAATATATATAAATAAAATAAAATATTTTCATATAAAACAATTGAAACAAAACAATTAAATCATTAAGGAAATAAATAATTATTTGATTTTGAGTGTTTTGATTTTAAGGTGAAATGTGACCTGGTCATCTCTTTTCTAGCTTCCAAAACTAGTCTGTTTAAATCAAATTTAAAACATTCTGATTCATAAAATTCATCTTTTCACACCATAAACTGTAGACAGCATCTCATTACCAAACTGTTAATACTCTACATTTCTCAATCAAACTGCTAAGCTCATGCATCCTCGCAGTGTTGTGAAGGGTTTTTCTGGATGCCGGGCATCAGTCCTCACTCTGAGGGTCTCTGAGCAGAAAGCAGATTAGCCCAGCTCGTTTAACATGATTAACAGGGATGATTTTCCAGTATCACCCAGCTACTGGGTTTCTAACCCAGCAAAAGCTGAGAGGACTAATTGAAACATCAGCCATATGGATCAGATTAAAGGATTGCAGAGAAACAAAGATTAGATTCGACCTCAAACCAGGAGAAATTATACAGGCGGATTAAACACACACAGAACATTATGAAAAGACCTCAAAGAGAATTATTAACTGCCTCTGATACCAATCATTCTTACTGTTATTTAACTGGTTAAATGACATGACTTCACTATTAACACCCAAACTATGTTGTGAACAATACCACACAATCTTTACATGAGTTATGCAGCATCACCAAACTTATGACATTCATGGCTGAAGTGCATTAATTTAGAAACCTCAATAAACCCACAACAGATCATAAGAAACTGTTAACAGAAGTCTGACCTCTGCATTTCAGTATATCTGTCCATGCTTTATCTCAAAAGACCTCAAGACTGACAAATCAAGATTAGAAGGAATGGACATCAATGCAAAACCATTTTCAAATGCAAACACAAACTAATGACTTAGGTTGAGAACTCAGGTTGAATGATATTCTGTTATATAGATAGGATTGGTGGCCAATGTGATCATAAGACTCGATTCCAAGTAGATAAATCTAGTTTACTATCCAACAAGAGTTGCACTCACCAGTGCCAACCACATGCTGTACATAACAAAAGATTGTTAAAAAAATAAGAATTTCTAATAAGAAAAGCCAAATGCAATCCATAAGTTAACCAAAAGGCACCAAAATTAATTCAGGCTTCAAAGTTTTGTCAAGAAAAACTAACTCAAGTTGCACCAAATGTCTGAATGTCATTACATTTGATAAGAAAATATCAAATTGCATCTGCAGAAAATGAACCAAAATCTTCTTCATCAATGTTACTGTTACTGTCAATCAACTGGTGCTTTGATGATTTTAAGTGGATTTATCAAGTCAGTTCTTTTCATATTCACACAGGTTTCGTTATAGCCATTGTTTTATTAAAAATATACTAAAAAAACATTTGGTATATGATTTGCTTTTTTAATCTTCACTCATAAGCTGCTAGTAAATTTCACAAATTATTACAAAGAAACGACAACAACACATTAAATCTAATGACATTTTTAAGCAGAAAGACTGAAATAGTATTTTCTTGTAAAACATACTCCAATAACCTTTGTTTTATTTACAAAGACAATTCATTTTACAGATTACTTCTTTTCTGTGAGCATTCTGCTTGCGAAATGTGCTTGTGCTAGCCTACTTCTTTAAAATAAATGTAACTTTTTTGATATTTAATCGAATAAAATGACATCCAGACATTTTTAAGTGACTAAGTGTCCAACTACTTCTCCAAAATTATACTTTTATCGAACAGAAGTGAGCATATTTCAGGCATGTGACAATTAGCAACAAACCCTAAAGAAGTTGATTTCTGGTTTGTTATCTAATGCAGTAACATTCCGACTCATTTTAAGAGTTTAAATACTATTGAAGCCACTGAATAAGGCAAAATAAACAACAACATCAACAACAAAATGCATCTTGTAAATTCACAGATAAAAGCACACAGCTGTTATTAAAAGAGTAGGCCACTTCCAGAATGAAAATTCTGTCGTCATTTATTCACCCTCTACTTGTTCCAAACCTTTAAGAGTTTCTTTCTTCTGTTGAACACGAAAGAAGATATTTTGAAAAATGTTGGTATCCCAACAGTTGATGAGCACCATTGACACTATTTTCCTACTATGGAAGTCAATGGTGCTCATCAACTGTTCGGATACCAACATTTTTCAAAATATCTTCTTTCGTGTTCAACAGAAGAAAGAAACTCATACAGGTTTGGAACAAGTGGAGGGTGAGTAAATGATGACAGAGTTTTCATTCTGGAAGTGAAATACTCCTTTAATAGAGATTTTCCTATACTCACCGATTCTCAAGACCTGCTGCGCGCTGAGACTGACCTCTGCCATCAGACACAGCAGGATGAAGCTCACACCTGTCCCCTTCAGCATGCTGCACCTGCAGGAGGCACATTCAACATCCATCTCCTTCTTCTTTTTGTATCCATACAGGAATAATTTCCATCCGAGCAGCATCTTTCCACTCACTCGTACTGGTGGGAGTCACCCATCCTCACATCCATAGGTGCTAACTGGGCATCACTTTCCAGAATAAGTCACCGTGAATGAGCATCCCTCCCGCGGTGCTCCCAGGACATAACGGTACCGAGAGACCGAGAGCGCACGGGCTCAACTGTGCGCAAACATGGGTCCGTTGCGAAGATTAACTTCAAATCTGGCAGCAGTCGATCTCGACAACGTCTTTGCTCTTTGGTACACCGAGGAAATGATTCAATCTTGTGCCGGAGCGCACATCTGCCAGCGGATTAAATGCCCGTTTATCCGTCACTCGCTGTCTGTGATTTCACCAAACTGGACGACACCTTACCCAACAGCGGTTTGACCTACTTTTAATACAAAATCATTCTTATTATATTTTTAAAAAGTCAAAGAAAACGTACAGGTCAGGAAGATAAGTGCGCGGAGGCATCTGTGAGAAGTTTGTGTGTGAAGCAATGGTGGAGATTTGATTCATTCCAACGAATCGAATCTTATAAACAAGTTCTGTTAAAAATGATTCGATCAGATTCGCCAGCGGCTGGTTTTGAAATAGCGTACTACGCTTTCCATTTCTGCTAAATAAAGAAAAATATGGCAGAAATAGTAAGAGTAGTTTTATGATAGTGCGCTGTTCCGAATTCAGCGTCTTGTGTGTTATGTGTGAGTCATTGAGTCTTCACTCAACCGATTCGTTTGAACGAGTCGTTCGCGTAAGAATCGATTCGTATTATTCTTAATTAAAATGTACCTGTCTATTTCGAGAAGTAGCCTATCATAATTTTGTTTTTTCCCACAAATATCAACAAGTCAAATAGACTAATTTTCCATACTCAAATCAAAATTGTTTCCATAGAGTGTGAGAGCTTTCAAAACTCTGGATCTGGTTTAGAAGGTGATTACTCACATCCTTTAGGTCATTGTGACAGTGGGTTTATACGGCATTAGAGGGATTACAGAGACAGGATCTGGATCACAGATCATTTAGAAAGAAAAGATACACTTCAGCCCCAGTAAACAAAGCCAGATCATGTATTTCTACAGGAGGTTTTATATGGTGTCTACTTTGACAACATACTTGACTATGAATTGCAATAAGTTTTTGTTGTCATTTTATGTCTTTATGGTGTAACAGAAGGAAAGATCTCTATAAAATAATTCCAGTGCAATTTACAATTTATAAAATGTCAAAAACAAAAAAAGATTCAATTCCCATACACTACTCTTGTAACTTAAAGGGACAGCTCACCTTCAGTTGCTGTCCCCATTGTATGGAAGCCCGTTTCCGCCACTGAATAAAAAAAAAGGTAATTGCGACTTTTTATCTCACAATTCTGACTTTTTTTCTCATAATTGCGTGATACAAACTCGCAATTCTGACGTTTTTTCTTAGAATTGCAATATAAACTCACAATTGCGAGTTAAAAAGTCATAATTGTGAGATATAAACTCGCAAACCCCCCTCAAAATTGGACTTTAACTCGCAATTGTGAGTTTATATATCTCGCAATTCTGACTTTATAACTCGCAATTGCGAGTTTACATCTCACAATTCTGTTAAAAAAAGTCAGAATTGTGAGATAAAAAGTCGCAATGACCTTTTTTTTTTTATTATTCAGTGGCAGAAACGGGCTTCCATACCATTGACTTCCATAGTATGGTGGAAAAAAAAACACTATGCGAGTCAATGAGGACCGACCGAATGTGAACCATCCCTTTAAGGCCATCTACTCGTTAATTATCATATAAGTAGAGGTCAGGGCAAGTGGTAACATTGTTTTTGAAAGTCAATAAGAGCCTATTTCAGGAAGATTAAACAAAGAAACAATGAAACACACACAAAAAATCACATTTGAAACTGAAATATCCCTTGTGACAACTAACCCCGATCTTCTCTATTTAATACATATTCTCTCTCAAAGCCACATTTGATAGAAACAGCAAAGACTTGGAAAACAGTGCATAATTTACACATTTACAAAAAATTACATAATGATGCAGTATGATTTTAGTCCTCTGTTGGCCAAAAACAGAGAATGATGGGAGATTCACATGACATCTCTTCAAATATTGTCATGTTCTCAGCTCCAGGACAAACTCACAGCTGTTTATTTAGAGAATAACACACCACTTCTTAACAGCCAGCAAATATACTCCACCAGTTGGATGTGCCGTATGCTGATTCCGTGTTTGCTGTCAACATGCCCCAATGTGAAACAGAGGTTGTTTATGAGGGCTGAATGCAGCTGGCATAACAAACAACAGTAGCATTGAGTTCACAACTCCAGCTCGGGATCCGTTAACAGTTTTACCTGGAGTACGAGTGGTTCACGTTAGTATTGACATTGAATGGCAGCTGCTCATCCGGCGAGGGATGCCCTGTATTCCACCTGCATGCTGACATTTTAGCTCATAGGACAAACACCGGAGACTCTGGAGCTGCCTTCAATAGCTTCTGTTCTCAAATGATGTTGAAAAGAGCAGACAGGCAAAAATATAAATCCATTTCCCACTTTTAAGAGCCATATGAAAAAATAAAGCATTAGCAAAATGTGTACTTTAATAAAATTAACAATTTGTGATGTAGATGTTGCATGCATTGCATACTGTATATTGCTCTTAGTCTCTCTTTCAACATAATTAATAAAAAGTTTGTGTAATAGGCTACTCTACAAAAACAAAATAAAGATGTAAGCTTTCATTTTAATCTGCCATTTTTATTTAAGATCCAACGGGTATGAAATGATTAATGGAAAACCTGGATATGATGAAAAAAAAAAAGGATTTCTAGACCTGGAAATGTAATGAAATTTAATAAAATCTTTAAAAAAAAAAAAAAAAAAACATTGACATTTTTAAAATTAATATACATATTTTTGTAGTTACATCAAGCTCTAAAATATTTTATTGGGTAGAAGTTGCTGAGAAATTACAATTTTTGAGTAAAAAAAATTAAACAATCACAAGTGACTAAAAAGTAATGTAAATCAATTGGTAATAAAAAAGTGAGACTAAAAGAACACTGAGTTATTGAAACTTCTGGAATTGTGGAATATAGCCAAATTCTTTATAATTATTTTATGTAATTATTTTGATATACTACCACTCTCTTTGGCTGGTAAAAATAAAAATAAAAAGAGAGGAGAATATTAATTAAAAAATTGTAAAATATTGTCTTTGACAATGGGGGGCTTTGGGATGAAAAAGGTTGAGAACCACTGCCGTGAAGAGCTTCATATCCCCACAAAACTTTTTGAGCATATTTGTTTTTTAATAAATAAAAAAAACACTTATATACGCAATCCAGAGCTACTGTCCGAGCTGTACGACTGCACCCTGGAGTAGTTGTACCCTACGAAGAGCGGATTCTGCGGCACAGGATGAAACGTGGATCCCGTGGCGTATGAAGTGAACGGATCGCTGCCGTTGCTTCCTTTAAAGTGTGTGGAAAGCTGACGCGGGTAATGCGTGTTCCTGGATACGTACTGCATCACATTTTGGCCATAATAGTTCGGATTCTGACCGTTCTGACTGTACACTAAAGACCCTGTGGCCATGGCCTGCATACTGTATGGTGAATGTTGACCACTAGAGGGCGTAATGGCGTAGCTGAACACGGACGGCGAAGGCTGTTGAATGGAAAGACTGTTGGTCTGGACCAAAGGCTGGTGTCTTAAAGAGTTAAAGGTCTGGAGGCGGTTTAAAATGGGTTTGTTAGCTTGTGGACGACCATGAAATGAGCCTGGTTTTGGATCAACACGACGACAGAGAAATATAATTCCAGATGCCAACAGAAAAGCACTAGTTACCCAACCGATATACAGCGCCTCTCCTAGTTCCCTGCGCTGGGCGTCAATCAGTAGAGGGTTGTAGAAGTCTCTAATGATGGTGTGGGCCGTCCAAGAGACCGGGATGATTACGCACACGGACGCTAAGATCTGCATCAGCCCCGCGGCCATTGCAATGAGGCTTTTGGACCGCGGTTGATCCCTGAGACACAATGTGCAACGGAGGCCTACGAGAGACACAAGCAGCCCGACTCCAGACAGCGCCAGAGCGCAACACGTCAACCCGCGGGCCGCCTGCAGGTCCAGCGGCAGGAACAGCAGAGAGTCGTAGACTTTGCACTGCATGTGGATGTTGGCCTGTCTGAAGCACGTCATCCACAGACCCTCCCAGCGCGTCTCCATCACGATGATGTTCTCACCGATGAACGCCGTCACTTTCCACATGGGAAGGCCCGTGACAGAAACCGCACCGATCAGACCGATGATGCCCAGACACAGGGCGATGAGCTCACACTTGCCCTGAACCATCATTGACCTCAGACTTGCACGCTTTTGACTATGTCATCAGTTTTCCTAAAAGTAGAGAAACAGACATAATTGGTTTTGAAATTTACATGAGGGGTCTTTGGCACAAGACACTTCTTCCCTTTAATCTGTCAAGCTTTTAACAGCACCAGACAAATGCTTTTAAATGCAAACAGCATTAAGGGAGTTTTACACTTTTAAGAGCCACTGCCAAAATATCTACTATAATAATAAATAGACTATATAAAAATATTTGGGATTTACAGTACTGTGCAATAGTCACATTTGCTCTAAGATATCTTTTGCTTGCTCTATATCTTTTTGCTTTAGTGTTCCAGTATCAATTTTAGAAACATTCCATTGCATTGCATATATTATAATGATTTTTAGTAAATTCATGTTTTTATTCAGCATGAATGCATTAAATTGATCAAAAGTTACAGTAAAGACTTTAATCATGTCGCAAAATATTTGTTTTTAAATAAATGCTGTTTCTTTGAAAATGTATAATGATTCCCATACAAATATGAAGCAGCACAACTGTTTTCAACAGTGATAATAATCAGAAATGTTTCTTGAGCAGCAAATCAGCATATTAGAATGATTTCTGAAGGATCGTGTGACACTGAAGACTGGAGTAATGATGCTGAATATTCAGCTTTGATCACAGGAATAAATTACATTTTACAATAAATGTAATATAGACAATAGTTATTTTTCGATTGCAATAATATTTCACAATATTACCATTGTTAATTGTGATTGGTATGGCTACTTTTTAATAGATCAAGATGCTTTCAGCCTCATGATGGTGTAATTATTGCCTCTTCCAACAGGGTCTCTTTGACCTCTTGACATATTAAACAGAATTCACCTTTTCCTTTAACAGGCTCACTTTCATTTGCATAAAATTATGCTCACTTTGGTTCTTAATCAAATGTTTAATTCAGTTGTACTCTACCTAGGGTTTTTTTTTTCTGAAGAAGAACATGTCCTGAATGAACGTCTCCTCAGATGACGGCAAACTACCCTGAACAAATGAATGAATCCACTCACCCTGTTCTGAACAAGGATAATCCTGTTGGGCAGCGATTTAATGTCCAAATCTTGATGTCTCGAGTCTGTTAGCCAAACACAGGTGTGTTAGATGTAGTAAATGTTGTTCCCAGATTAAATAGCGCAGTGTAGAGAGAGTGTGGTATTATATGCTCAACAGTTTAAGGATAATGATAAACTTACTCTCTTTGTTATGGGAAAGTGGCATAGCCGTATTCTAATTGGTTGAGGCTGATGAGGGTAAGTGGAGATGCTGATGGTGTGTTTACTGAGCAGTGGTCATATATGCTGGCAAGGTCTCTCTCACATAAACAAACACACTCTCAAATGAACAGATGACCTTCACTCACAAAGTTATAAAATTCTCTTCAACACTAGAGGGAGGCGCTGCGCCAATCTGGTTACAGGTAAATTAGTTCTGTCAGGGATGTTTAGCGCTTTGGAAGCTGAAACGAGTGTCCTTTATCCACCTTATTAGGCAACGAAGAAGTAAGCAATTTTATGTGAAGACTTCCGATTCATTAGGCGCTATAGATAACTAGAAGAATAACAAAGTGCAGTAAACGGTAAAACTGGGCTATTTGTGATGCAAACCAGTGTGTTTATAATTACGATGATAAATGAAACTCATATGATAAGAAATACCAGTTTACAATATCAAGCCGCATAAATAAATGGAAGCGAATGACACCGAAAGCCGCTCGAACAAATATGGCCGCTTCCTCTCTTAAAGAGGTCATATGATGCGATTTAAATTTTTCCTTTCTTTTGTAAAAATTGACGCGTTTCAGAAAGGCGGGACATAGAGGAGAAACAATAATGTACAATATGTGGAAAATAATGTTTTTTGAACTTTAAACCGCATAAACACATTTCATTACACCAAATACACAAAATAATGTTCTTTTTAGCAACATCATATGACCCCTTTAAGTTAAAAATTTAATGGAAATCTGTCACTGACTAGGCAGCAACCTACAGTTTTGTTAGCTATGTTTGGTTGCTGCTAAAAGCATTATCTGTTTTTACTGTCATTATTGTCATTTATCATGCATACATTTTATCCAAAGCACAAGGTGTAGTTTAGCTTTACCAATGACTTCAGTAATATTCTGGGTCACTTCTGCCTGGTGATGAGCCACATATTTTGCATTAGCAACCTGAAATGAGTCCACCTCAGTGCATATTACGTAATACCTCTGTTTTAAAACCTAGTGAGCTGTCTTGCTGTTTACTACCCACTCAGGTAGCTAACTTTTAAAAAAGAAGCATCCTCACTGAAACTGAACCACATAAGTGAGTGATTTAAAACACTCAGCAACTTTTTGCTTCAGAGAAATATCAATGAAATAGGACACAATTGTTCTATGCTTAGAGTATTGCTATGTAATAAAAAATTATTTTTGCTAAAATAATGCAAGACCCTATTAATCATAAAAATACAGTGTGCATATACTCTGTATTTGTTTAAAAATAATTTTTTTAATTACTCAACTATGTTTTTACCAGTATTGTTTGGTATTAAATCAAAATGCAAATGAATTTTTTCTTCGACTTCAATGAGCTCATCACAGTGCATTCTGGGATTGCATTCTTCATGAAGGACGACAATGAAAGAATCTCATCAGACAAGTTGCTGCCTATATTTATTTTACATTGAAGCCTATGACAGTATTGTTGTTGTTAACTAAAACCCTTAAAAATATTTTTTGTTAATTGAAATAAAATATAAATATGCTGTAAGATGAAAGATGAAACTTAAATGGATATTAGACATAACAGAACTATCTGAAATAATATAAGTTTAAGCTGAAGTACTAACGTTACTAAAACTGAAATAAAATAAATGTAAGCTAAATAGAAATATAACAAATAATAAAAATGACAAAAGCACATAAGATTACTAAAACAAAACTGAAAATAAAAAATAAAGCTAGTTCAAAATATGAACAAGTACTATAACAGTATAAATAATACTAAAAACACATTTGGCTACGATTCCTTAAAATGCTTCACAGCAAAGTTCACCAATTTTGCACTTGCTGCATAAGGCAAAGATTTATTTATATAATAATTTTTATTCAATATGCTATGTTTCATCTGATTAAAAAAAATGATGCACTCGGTCTAGTTATAGCAGTTCCCAGTGAAACGGGTCTCACTCCTTAGCCTTTCCAAAAGTATGCAGTTAAAACTTTAAAGCTGCTTGTTCAGTTTTCATGTGTGGGTGTGTATTTCTCAGTTTTCACAGCTGAATAGCAGATAGTTCTGATCCGTTTCCTGGTTCTGTTGTAGCACTACTATACTAACAAGCAGCTCTTGTGTGACTCATTCTCTGGGTGTGTCAGAGACGCTCAAGACAATAGTCGTCTTACGTTTCACTGCGGCTTTGTTTATTTGAAGCTGCAGGGCATAAAGATCTTGAACGCACTGAGCTAAACTAAATCACCAAATTCAGCACTTGCCAGTAACTCAGACCCCGTGACTTTTTGAGAAAACAGGTCCTCTGAAGCATAGAGATGAACAGATTTCTTCTGAGAACTATTACTGTGCAAATACACAGCAGAAACCAGAACACAATCTTTTAAAACCACCTATATATGCAGAAAGATATGAGGAATAGCAAATATCTTATCATTAAGGATATGTTTTACTAGTTTATTGAGTTAAATCATTGTATTGTACTTTGATATTTACATAAAAAAACATAATATATGAATATTAAACACTTATTTCCTTGTTTCTATTTTAGACATGCAGCTTTCAGATAATACAAAAATACCTCAAGTAACATACTTTACAACATCCTGAGGTATGATCTGTACTTTACAATGAATCATATAAAACAAAAACAAAATTTTTTAAAACAATTCTTCATCTCAGTCACAGACAGTTCTCAAAGTTCTCTTACTTGCATATTTAAAAAATGCCATTGAAACTATATTTCAATTCTGTCAAAAACATTCCCAAGAAATAAAAAGAAAAATATTAAATGTAGGCCTAAATTTGTTACATTGTTAAAAACCAATGGGTTTTTTTTTCCTTCTCTCGTTAGAAGTTCATCCTTTCCATCTTTCATTTGCACCAACTTAGACATTTAAAAAGCCAAAGTAGAAATGGTATTCAAAAACATTCCTAAGCATGAAACAGTAAAAAATTAAATGCAGGCCCAAGTTTGTTACATTTAAAACCGTTTAAATATTTCCAAATAGTATTTTTTATCTTGTGTAAAAAAAAAAAAAGCTTTGGTTAGAAGTCCTTTTCATCTGTCATCTGCTCCTGCATAGATATGAGTAGAAATAACATCTAAATGTAGCCAAAAACATTCCCAAGAATAAAACAAGGGGGAAAAAAATCAAATGTACGGCTAACTTACATTAAAAACATTTTTTCCAAATATTTTGTTTTAAAAACTTTTGGTCGTCCTTTTCATCTCTCTCTAACACACACAAACGCAAACACACAAGCCTGTAAAACGTCCAGCTGGATTTCAGAGATAAGCCACGGCGCTGCGGGCGGACGGATGTCGGGACGGTTGTATGAACGACTGCTGTCTGGAAGGCTGAATGAATGACTGTTGTCTAGATGGTTGGTATGACTGCTCAATGAACGACGGTGGCCCGGACGGGTGACTGTACACAGAGCGCGGCTGAGGGTGGTAGGCCACGGGTTGCGGCTGATAGGCCACATAGGGCGCGTTCCTGGTGTACATGTACCTCGGATCCGGGCCCTTGTCCAGGGGGCCACTGCAGCAGGTGAATATGCACCCACCGGCGAATAAGAAGGCGGAAGACACCCAACCGATGTACAACGCTTCCCCGAGTTCCCTGCGCTGGGCATCGATGAGCAAGGGGTTGTAGAAGTCCTGGATGATGGCGTGTCCGGTCCAGGAGACGGGGATGAGGCAGCAGAGGCAGCCTGCTAGGATCATGCAGCCAGCGATGATCAGAACCATCCGCTTGGCGCGGTCGTTCCCTTGGATGCACGCCGTGCACCTCATCCCGGCAATGGAGATTAGTAAACCCAGCCCGGTCAAAGCCACGGAACAGCACATGAGCCCCCGAGCGGCCTGGAGGTCCGGAGACAGCGCCAGCAAAGAGTCGTACACCTTACACTGCATCCGAATGTTGGCCTGCCGGAAGCAGTTCATCCACAAGCCCTCGTAGCGGGTCTCCATCACGATGATGTTCTCCCCAATGAACGCTGTCACCCGCCACATTGGCATCCCGGTGCTGGCCGCCGCCCCGATGAGTCCGATCAGGCTCACGCACATTCCCACGATCTCCAGGGCGCCGTTCGCCATGATTCCAGGAGCCTGAAGAGTGAGGACTGGTTTCGACTGTAAGGTTTTGCATCCCGCTGGAATGGGAGCTGATAGGTGTTCACCTGTTCCCAGCCTCCGCCCTCTCGCTCAGGGAAGGGAGGGAACGCCGGGGCTGGTTGCTATGAAATCAAATCCCCCCTGCGAGTGTTTGTGTCTGGTTTTGTGTCACTGGGGGAGGAGGAGGAGGAGCTCGTAGCCGTGTTGATGTTTGCTCAGCAGGCACCGTTTTCTGGCAGAGATCCTGTTAAGTGAGGAAATACAGCTGAAGGGGTTACTGAACAGCCAGATACAGGCAAACACACAACAGCTCTGGACTGCTGTCAATGTTTAACACCGCTGGTGTTGCGGCTCATTAAATTGCTGTCTGATATGTCCAGAAAAACATATGTGAAGTCAGCTGATGGCTTAATGTTGATGTTTTACCTTTAGTTAAAGGTGAAAAGTTTGTCATTTCTGCACCGCAAACGGAATTTCATTACTTTTAAAATTCTGTTTGATGCTGAGTGGTTTCTAGCATGTTGCTACACGGATGCTAGGGAGTTCTGAGGGAACCACAGAAAGCAACCACATAGCAACATGCTAAGTACCACTCAGAGCATAAGCAACCGCATAGTAACATTCTAAAAAAACATTTAGAACTCCTTAGCAGCTGCATAGCAACACCCTAGCAACTGGAAAGTAACATTCTAAAAATAAAAACATTCAGAACCCCTTTGCAGCTGCATAGCAACACCCTATCAACCTTTATACAGTCGACCATTATTGTAGTTCCATTTGATGCTGAGTGCTTTTTAGCATGCTACTAAGTGGTTGCTAGGGTGTTACTATGCGGTTACTAGGGTGTTGCTATGCAGCTACTGAGGGGTTCTGAGCAGTTTTTAGAATGTTGCTGTGCAGCTGCAAAAGGGGTTCTAAATGTTTTTTTTTTAGATTGTTATTATGAGGTTGCTAAGGTGTTGCTATGCAGCTGCTTAGGAGTTTTGAGAGCTTTATAGAATATTGCTATGTGGTTACTAGGGTGTTGCTATGCAGCTACTTAGGGGTTCTGTGTAGTTTTTAGAATGTTGCTGTGCAGCTGCAAAGGGGTTCTACATTTTTTTTAGAATGTTACTATGAGGTTGCTATGCAACTGCTTAGGGGTTTTGAGTGCTTTATAGAATGTTACTATGTGGTTACTAGGGTGTTGCTATGCAGCTGCTAAGGGGTTCTGAGTAGTTTTTAGAATGTTGCTATGCAGCTGCAAAGGGGTTTTAAATTGTTTTAGAATGTTACTATGTGGTTGCTAAGGTGTTGCTATGCAGCTGCAAAGGGGTTCTACTTTTTTGAATGTTACTGTGCGGTTGCTAGGGTGTTGCTATGCAGCTGCTAAGGGGTTCTGAGCGGATTTTAGCATGCTCCTATGAGGTTTCTAGTGTCTTAACAGCTACATAGTAACTGCTCAAATCACCTTAGCAGCTGCATAGCAACATCTTAGCAACCTTTGTGTATTTTTGCAATTCCATTTAATGCTGAGTGTTTTTAGAATGTTGCTATGCAGAACACCCTAGCAATAACATAACAACATGATAAAAATCACTCAGAACATCTAGCAACAACCTAGAAAACTTTGTACTATTAAGCATTTTCTTCAGACAGTATACAAAATCACGTTTCTGTTCTCTAAGATGGCTGACAGTAACTGTGATATTTTATTCATTTTCATCAGCGAGTGCAGATAAGAATTTGGATCATAACATTGTTTTGCTGCGTTGACTTTTTCCAGTTACATCTTAAATCACATACACGTCTCTTTTGGTCGCACAAACACAGTCAGTGTCGCTCATGTCTGCTGGTGAATTTGCATTAGGGGTGTGATGCTTTGAGCTTATGGAGCAACAGAAGAGAAACATACACTGGAAAACCACCTCGACTGGTTCGACCAGTTCCGCCAACACTGGGCTAAGAAAAACAACAAAATAATGTCATCAAGTCTACAGACCAGGAACTAGTACATCCACAGTTCTTTTCACACATTTATTTAATACAATTACAATCAAACCAATGCTTTAAAAATGGACAGAGTGGAAAACAAACAATCATATGACAGAGTCAACATTAAGTCATGGATACACAGTTAAATGCTGTGTGGAAATATCCCACATGTTGGTGTTCTTAATTTTAGCACATATTGCATATTATTTCTGTGCAAATTACAAACTTTTAGAAAAGAAGGAAATGCAATCAAATCAAGTATGTAAAAACTAATATTCACATATACAGTCACATTTAATCAAATGAGGCTCCATCAGTCCTGCTTTCTTCTGAATCCTAATGCAGATTGTTCCCAACTCAACTTCTTTTTTGGAGTCTCTATAGAAGATGTTGTGTGTCTCAGTATCTTGAAGGGTTATAAACTGTCGGGACAGGAGAATAGGCCGGTTGATAGTTATACCCGGGCTGGTATCCGTATGCAGGCTGGTATCCATATCCGGACCTGTAGGAGTAGTTATACGGAGCCGATCCAGCCCGATAAAGAACAGCAGCCATGTTCTCTTTATCCTGGGTCCGTGGTGCATGTCGACAGAGCAGAATCACCCCGGCACAGAAAAGCAAAGCTGAAGTGACCCATCCGATGTACAAAGCCTCTCCAAGCTCTCTACGTTGGGCGTCGATTAACAACGGGTTGTAGAAGTCCTGGATGATCACATGAGCCGTCCAAGACACGGGAATGATGGTGGTCAAGCAGCCAGCCAAAAACAAACACCCTCCGCTCACCAAAACAATGTGCTTGGTTTTGGGACGGGAGTCTACCAGACGGGTGCAGCGCATCCCGATGGCGGACACGATGCAGGCGAAGGTGGTCAAAGCGACGGAGGAGCACATGAGACCCCTGGCGGCCTGGAGGTCGGCCGGGAGAAACAGCAGAGAATCGTAGACTTTGCATTGCATTCGGATGTTGGCTTGCCGGTAGCAGTTCATCCACAATCCCTCCCAACGCGTCTCCATCACGATGATGTTCTCCTCGATGAACGCGGTGACCTTCCACATCGGGAGGCCTGTGACGGAGGCGACGCCCATCAGTCCGAAGAAGCCGATGATCAGCGCAACCACCTCGCAGCAGATAGATTCCTGTCTCTTTCTCTTCTCGTGCTTCACCTGCTCATCGTACACCTCTTTTGCCGACTTCTCATCCGGATATCCCGTGTACACACTGTCGCCGTAGGTTTTGTCCGCGTAGGGTTTGGCCATGTAAGACCCGGCCGTGTAAGACATGATGTTCGAGTGCCAGGACAAAACGACGAAGGATCAGACACAGATGTAACGCTGCTCTTCTTCACTGCGGTGTTTCTCAACTGAGACCGGAAGATCCAGATGACAAGTATTTACAGACAAGAAAAATGTTAATGATGTTATGTGTACGGACTGGTTCACCTGCTCCTGGAGAATCTGATAAACAGCTTGAAGGAAACTGGTGATACTTGCAATGTTTAAGCAAACGTGCCCACGGCTGCCATTTTCGAATTCTACCATTAGGTGGCTTCTAAAGATGAGTATTTTCTTCAGAACAAAATGCAAGCACAAAATAGCTTGTGGGAATGTTTAATTAAATTGTAATTAAAGATAGCTTTTAAAGTAAGGTCGTTTTCAAGACCAAAAAAACCAAAACAATAATAATATAAAAATAATAAAATATAAAATAAATAAATAAAATAAAAAT